TCCCCTATGTTCCCAACTATGGGGGCGGACGTATCGGAGGGGGGCGTGGGTGTTGGGGCGCGCTGGGGGATACAATGGTAGGGAAAACACTGTATATGATTTTAAGTTAAATAATATTAGAAATATGGGTGTAATGCCATGTCTCCTATATTGATTCTACTATATTATGTCATATCAGTGTTTCCCCTATGTTCCCAACTATGGAGGCGGACGTATCGGAGGGGGGCGTGGGTGTTGGGGCGCGCTGGGGGATACAATGGTAGGGAAAACACTGTATATGATTTTAAGTTAAATAATATTAGAAATATTAAGTATGATGACATGTTTGTTATATTACTCCTACATAATGCTATATGATATTAGTCCTATATTATTTTGTTATTATCTATGATATTACAAATACGAAGTAACATAATATGTTATGTATATTGGCATGGCATTACTGCAATATTGGCATGGCATCATTGAAACTATAAAGGAGGACATGTGTGTCTACCTTTCCTAATGCATAACTTGAAAAATCAAACCGAGATCCCAATTTCCAACGACGGACGAATGAAACTATTGGTCTACCGTCACAAGTTGTCACTGTTGATTCGTCAACCCAGCCGTGGGAGTTCATCTAAACACCAGCCTAATGGCCAGATCCAGGGCATGTGCACAGATACAGAAATCCCGTCATCTTCATCTGCAGCCTTGCATTAGCCAAAGAAGGAAATGGATGAGATGAAAAAGATCCCTCATTCCTCAGAGGCCCTGCCGTGCTACTGTCCAGTCCATGAAGTTGGAAAAAAACACTTCCTAGAGCACAGGGAATGTTACTCACCAATGAATGAGGAGCCGGTCCATGCCTGTTGGGGGGTATTTAGCGCTGTGTTGGGGGCAGCGCCGTTGGCTGGGCTATGTTGGGGGGGCGATTTGCGTTTTTTTTTTTCAATGGGGGGGGGGGGGGCTGTTTTTTTATTTCTTCCTAAAGTTTGAATCCCCCCCAACAAGAAACCCTGAATCAGCACCTGGTTTCAGAAGCATGGCTCACAATAGACAGGTATGAACGCCTCACATCGTTTTGAGCCGATGGGATTTCTATGGCTGCAACAATCAATTTCATTATGAGGAAAGAAGAGATTAATCATTTTCTTCATTCCTATTTTCTGACGAGTGTTAAGTTATGAAAATAATGGGAAGGTGGATAAAGCGTTCTCCTTTCCACCATGATCTCCTTACTCAGATCAGAATGCCAAAAAAGAAGGTAACAGCTTGCTGATATCACCACTATGGCATGGCATTTTTACCTAATT